ATAGCCTCAATCAGCCAAGGTAAGATCAAAAGAATCAGAATAATTTTTAATAGGAAAGAAAAATTCTGAAGTGAACCACTGAATCCCTTCACACTTTTGGAGATATTAAATAGATGAACCAATCTTCTGCTTTTATTAAAGTCTAGAGAAAGTAATGAACGTTCAGTGCTGCATGAACTCTTTGGAAAAAATCACAACACCAACAAAAATCCTTGATTCAGTGGGTTGTGAAATGATGGAAAGTCCAAGTTAGAAAATCTTCAAAATCTGTACTCATTTAGGTGCAATTAGAGAATAGACCAGGTGGCCCCCTAAGACTTCTAGAATGCTGTCTCCAGATTTCTTTACCTACATCTCTTCTAATTAGAAGCAATGCTTCATTTCAATGTTTAATTCCATAACCCTTATTTTCTGTAAACATATCTTTGATTACCAACCCAATGCAATTTTTTAAAAATTAATTATTGTGGTTGCCATTGAGCACTAATTAACAAAGGAAGGCTGGCAGGAATGAGTTGCACCATTCTTGACAGCTCTTTTTCATTTTCGAAATGCCAGCACACAAATGAAGAATAACCCTGTTAGGAAAAGAAGTTTAATTTTTCTAACTGCATGACAATGAGGCTGCTGGAATATTTTGCAAAGATGAGATAAAATTTGAAAACAATAAAATCTGCAAGTAAATACAAAATAACTGCTCTACGATAAAAATATAGAAAGCCTGTTCTGTATATGATGTATATGACTGGTCTGATGCCTGCACAGTACCATTCCTCATTCCTCCCCATGTGCAAACACCTGCACATACTCATGACCCAAATGAAAGCTGGTATGTTGCCCATTGATCACATTGATACAAGGCATTTACCCAAAACTCTTTTAAAAAGCCTGGAAGGAAGCAGGCATTTCAGTGAGTGCTTTATAGGACAGAATGAGTTTCTACATTGAGAAAATAGCCATTTCTGCTCAGATAGTTAATGATTCCTGAATGCAGGATGACCAAAAAGGAAACAAGAGCTACAAGGAGGTATTTATGCAATTAGGCAGTTAGAAGATCTGAATAGGAGGGAATTTTGGAGATTGTCATATTCAATTTTCTCATATTATAGAGGAATCAACTCAGGCCCAGAGGGAGAAAGTGACTTGTCTAAGGTTGCACAGTTCTTTGGCAGTAGAATACAGTGTAATGTGTTTTCTATTTCCCTATTCTGACCCCATGATTTGAAATGACTTATAATAGTCTTAACTCATCATATGCTTATAATCTTTCTACCAACTCCTGTTATTTTTTTTCTGTAATACAGAACTGGCTAGACAGTTTTTATTTTTTATATACAAGTATAAAAATCACACCCTATCCTTAGATATTTTGATGGGTAGGGTTGGGGTGGGACTCAAGGGTTTTCATTATTACAAGGGAATCAGGTGATTATGATGCAAGTGGTCTGGGATTCACCGAGAATTCATGATTGGGAGTCCTCTAAGGTCTCCATCAGTCACTCTCTGGGGTGAAGTGGTGTGTTTTTCAGGAACTCAGGTGAGCTGAGTAAGAGGAAGCTAAGCTGTCAGGTGTTGGAGCAGTCCTTTAAAGCAAGTTGAAAATGAAAGAGTTCAGCATTAATTACTTATGAGTCTAAAACTAGAGAAAGCACTGACTTGCTATGAAACTTGAGGAGTAGACACTTGGGCATCTATTTATTAAATAATGCTTGATTGACTTCAGGGGACAATGCAGGTCTCAAAGTCAAGGAAAAGCTTGAGATCTTGAAATAATCTGACTCATGGCTAATCACAGTACGTTTTACAATTATATTTGGGACTAGTTAGCACTCAGGAACATTGAATCATTGAACCATGAAATATTTACTGAGCCTCTACCCTGTGTCTTGCATTCTCTTGAGTACTTAGTATTCATCAGAGAACAAGATAGATAAAGATCTCACCACTTCTCGTGGCTAAATTTGAACAAGGGAGACAGACATTAGTAATAAGCAATACAAATGAATTTCCCAATATGTTAGGTGCTAAGTGCTACGGAAGAAGAAAATACATATATGACAGAATAAGAAAGCTCAGGAGCAATGAGAGAATTGAAATATGATTGACTGATTGACTGAGTTGGGGGTCTCATCCATTGCTCAGGCTGGAGTTCAGTGACATGATCATGGCTCACTACAGCCTCAACCTCTTGGGCTCAGGTGTTCCTTCCTCCTCAGTCTCCTGAGTGCCTGGGACTACATGTGTGTGCCACCATGTCTGGCTAACTTTTTGATGTTTTGTAGATTTGAGGTTTTCCTGTGTTGCCCACGCTGGTCTCAATCTCCTGGGCTCAAGCTCTCCTCTCACCACACCCTCCCAACGTGTTGAGATTAAAGTCATAAGCCACAGCTCCCAGTTGAGAATTGAAGTTTTAAATAGGACTCTCAAGGTTCATTGTATTATAATACATCCAGCAATCTCCTACATTTCTGATTTATCTTTATGTTGTTGCTAAATTAATCTTACTGAGACTTATGATTTTACTAGTTTCTTGCTCAAAAATCCTTGATAATTCCCACTAGTCAAAGAATACAGTCTAAGCTTTGTTTCTGACATTCAAGTTTTACATTGCTCTGACTTAGTATTCCTCACTGCCTCTCCCTGCTCCAGCAAACTGGACTGCTATCTGATCATACCCTGTACTGTCCCACCTAGGTGCTTTTGCTACAATGGCCTCATGCCTTTTTCTCTGTCTCCACTTCTTGACATTCTACCCACTCTTCAAAGTTCAGCTCAAGTATTTCTCCCACAAAGAACCTTCCTGGGTCTTTATATTCCATAGAAATTCTTTCTCCTCTTAAACTCCTACAATACATTAAGCTATGAATACAGCATTCAACAGATATAGTTATAAAAAGATTTGATTCTTTTTACTGGATTGTAAAATTCTTAAAGACAAGAACCACCTCCTTGAATATCCCCACTGTGTTTAGCACAGTGCCTTGCAAGAGAGAGCTCACTTAGCTAAGAGTTTCTTGATACTTTGGAGACATAAAGAAAAAAGACAAAATGTGTTTAAAGAGGTAGAAGTCTGTGTGTCTTTAAAATCGGACTCTTCCTAAGAATGAAGTCAATGCCTCTGTGAGTTTATGACACTAAAAATGCCAAGACTTTTAATGGACAACATAAGAATGAAAGGCATTGAAAAAGTGTTGTCATTTAAAATGTTTGCTCCAGTTATACATAAATAATTAGTAATTAAGAACAAAGTGTTACACTTCAGCCGGGCTTGGCGGCTCAGCCTGTAATCCCACGCCTTTGGGAGGCTGAGGTGAGTGGATTGCCTTAGCCCGCGGGTTCGAGACCCGCCTGGGCAGGCGAGACCTCATCTCTACAATAAAATAAAAAAATTAGCCGGGCGTGGTAGCTCATGCCTGTAATTCTGGCTACTCGGAAGGCTGAGGTGGAAGGATCGCCTGAGCCCAGCAGGTCGAGGCTGCGGTGGCCGGGAGCGGCCACTGCACTCCAGTCTGGGCGACAGAGTGAGACTCCAACTCAAAAAAAAAAAAAAAGTGTTACACTTCTATTTGAATTCTGAATGAAAAGGCATATCAATAGTAATAGACACTAGAGTAAGATGAGAATGATTGCAAAAGGTACTTCATAATCCCTGAAAGGAAATTCTTATTGTGAGCACTTGCTTTTGCAAGGAAACTTTATTTTGTCTCTGAAAGATACTTTGGGTCACTTCCCTCCAGCCCAAATCTCACTTGGAGAGATATGCAGCACCTGGTTGTCTGGACCTCTGAGTATGACCCACTGGCCAATAACCCCGGATGGAAAAAGAATGGAGCAGGCTTGATGGTGAACAGTCGATTTGGATTTGGCTTGCTAAATGCCAAAGCTCTGGTAGATTTAGCTGATCCCAGGACCTGGAGCAGCGTGCCTGCGAAGAAAGAGTGTGTTGTAAAGGACAATGACTTTGAGCCGAGGTAAGCGTCTCCTGGAATTTTAAATGAATATGTGCCCATGGCACAATTTAATTACAACGTTTGTCATTCTGCCTGAGTTTTTTTCTCACCTACCCTTCTGAATTCCATGGAGAACCACTGAGAGACTAAGATCCAGAAATCATGTTAGCATATTTGTATTTTGCCTACCAACCACATAGTATGAAGTCTAAGGCGCACCATTGTTTCATGCACAGTTAAGAAAAAACATTGTCAATTAAACTATGACCAATCGTCACTGTTAATTTTCTTTCTAAAATCAATATTAAGCTATTTTTAAATATGTGTCTTAGAGCTGATGAAATGTGATACTTGCCAACCAGTATCACCCAAAACCTGCTTCCAAAATAACCTTGTCTGATGCCACAGTGCCATATGATTCATGGCTTTTTTTCTAAGAAGGATCCTTTATCACATTGTTTTTATATAGATAGACCAACTCTCATACACAACATCTGCCCACAGAAGCAAAATTTGCTAAAAGTGTTTTGTTATTTCTTTTTTTTTTTTTTTTTTTAAGTTGGAGTCTCACTCTGTCACCCAGACTGGAGTACAGTGGCCGCTGCCAGCCACTGCAGCTTCAACCTGCTGGGTTTCAGCGATCCTTCCGCCTCAGCCTTCCAAGTAGCTGGAACTACAGGCGTGCATTACCACGCCCGGCTAATTTTTGATTTATTGTAGAGATGAGGTCTTGCCAAGTTGCCGAGGCGGGTCTCGAACCCACAGGCTCAGGCAATCCACTCACCTCGGCCTCCCAAAGCACTGGGATTACAGGCTGAGCCACCGAGCCCGGCTGTTTTGTTATTTCTATCAGGGCAGTCATAATAATACTGAACACCCACTCCTAAAAAATACCTAAGGGGGGAAGCTTAGGGGCATGCCTTACGAATGCACTTAATTTACAGATAAAAATTATTATATTTTATTTTATTTTATTTTTTGAGTTGGAGTCAACCAAGCTGGAATGCAGTGGCATGAATATGACTCATGGCAGGCTCAACTTCCTAGGCTCAGAAGAACCTTCCACTTCAGCCTCCCCAACAGCTATGCATCACTAAGCTCTGCTAAGTTTTTGTTTGTTTGTTTTATAGAAATGAGGTCTCACTATGTTACCCAGGCTGGTCTCGAACTCCTGGGCTCAAGCAGTCCTCCTGCCAAGGCCTCTCAAATTGCTTGAATTACAGGTGTGAGCCACCTAACTCTACCCATTTTTTCTTAAGAGGGTCTTTTTGATAGGTCTAAAACAAATCCACCTGAATTTCATTCCATGGCAAATAGCATTGTATTCAAGTATTTGTGCTCCTTGCCATTTTCTTATGCATTAAAATTAATTTATACCTAATCCTGACTTGAGTTCTATTCAACATAGGAAGCGACAACAAGTCTAGCTGAGTGTCTAGTCAAGAGTGATGTGTATACATGTGCATAAAATGCAAGAAAGCTGAGATACACTTGAGTCAATGCTGATTATTTAATGTATTTAGAGCTCTGAAAGCTAATGGAGAAGTTATCATTGAAATTCCAACAAGAGCTTGTGAAGGACAAGAAAACGCTATCAGGTCCCTGGAGCATGTGCAATTTGAAGCAACAATCGAATATTCCCGAAGAGGAGACCTTCATGTCACACTTACATCTGCGGCTGGTAAATTAAGAAAAAAAAAAAATTTTTAAGCATTTGTTGAAAGTTTTAAGTAACTAGTGATTGCTTTTGTTTATTCACCAGAACTAAGTCTCCCAATAGATATTTTCAAGTCATAAAATCATGCTTCTTTTTCTTTTTCTTTTTTTTATAATGTTAGATCTCCCTCTGCCCTACTTATTGCCACCGGCCCTTAGATAAACAGAGACTCAGTCTTGTTCAAATAACGTCCAACCAATAAACTGTTCTGGAGTCATGCATTTTCGAGCTGTGTTCAATTTCCCTAGTTACTTATCTATCATTCTTTTCTCTTAGGTAACACTGTAATAAAAGTTACTCTGATAATTGATTAATGAAACTTACAAATATATCTGAAACATCTAAGAGGTTGGTTGAAAACTGGGAATTCTGATCCATTAGGGAAAATTGAGAAGACTAACAAAGTGATCATAATAATACAAATAAGTCCATATGATATGACGTGGACACTTTTCCTAACATGGGGTTAATTCAAGTGAGATAGTACATGAGAAAGGGCTTGTCGGCCATAAACCACAATCTTTGTGGCTTTGAGAGGGGCTTTCCCAATACTCTTTCATGTTTTAGCAGGACTCAACAGACAAAGTTCAATTGCTATAGGTGACGTATGAGGAAAGATCTTTATGATTTTCCACAATATTAACTCATAGTGGTTTGGAGTACGCTCTGTTAATTGTGGTATTATGCTTTCATGTCTAGGAATTTGCCTGAAAAATCAGTGGAATGCTTTTTTTCATTGGTAAACCTATAGTTCCTTTAACTCTTTCACATAGAAATATTATTTATTGATCTATAGTGGACTTGGACTTTAAAATTTAGAGTTATTTTCCATTAATTTTATGTGACAAGACAGTATGAATTATGCATCTAATTAATATATTTATTGAATAATTGATGATGCTTATTAATAATTAAAATTCAGTTAATTAAATGATAAATTAATGTTTATGTCTACATGATTATGGACTCAGGCACCTACTAAATTTTCAAGATTTTCTCTTGTACTTCAGAAGAATAATTCCACTAAAATGTATTTTAGGTCTTTGACTCGCTTTTAATCCAATTTGTAAATGTAGTTCTTTGAGTTCTATGTATTCAAATAAATCTTAGTCGACATATTCATTCATTATTTATTTTTTCCACAATATTTATTGACGCAATTAGTATTATTTATTATTATACATCAGACAATGTGCTAAGTAGTGTAGATAAAAACTTTTTTTTTCCTTGTAAAGGTCTCTAACCTGGTCTTATACTAGAAGAGAAAATGAGGCGAATTATTCTTTCCCAGCTTTCATTTCCAGTTATCAGATGCAGAAATGTATCCTACTATTGGAGCTCTTAGGGCATTCATTAACTTGTGTTTGTTGCATGAAAACAGGAACCAGCACTGTACTGTTGGCTGAAAGAGAACGGGACACATCTCCCAATGGCTTTAAGAATTGGGACTTCATGTCTGTTCACACATGGGGAGAGAACCCTGTAGGCACCTGGACTTTGCGAATTACAGACATGGTGAGTGTCAATTAGAGGATAAAAAACCACAACCTTATTTATAAACATTTTTGAGGTTGATTTCATCATGAATTAGGACTGGGCTCGGTAGCTCAGCCTGTAATCCCAGCACTTTGGGAGGCCGAGACGAGAGGATTGCCTAAACCCGCAGGTTCGAGACCCACCTGGGCAACTTGGCGAGACCTCGTCTCTACAATAAATCAAAAATTTGCTGGGCAGGGGGTGGTAGTGCGCGCTGGTAGTTCCGGCTACTTGGAAGGCTGAGGGCTGAGGCGGAAGCATCGCTGGAGCCCAGTGGGTCGTGCCACTGCACTCCAGTCTGGGCAACAGAGTTAGACTCCAACTCAAAAAAAAAAAAAAAGAACTGTGCTACTCATTGGTAGAAGTAAGAGAAAGGTGTATTATTTTCATGCCCTGCCTACTTGTTCATATAGATAACTATTTTTTAAACGATGCCTTGCTATAAGAGGGAAGAAAAGATATGCTGATAAACAAAGTAATACATTATGGGACAAATCCAAGTGTTCCCAAGTCTGAATGCAGTCAGCCATATGACCTATTCAGTCACCAAAATCAACTGTATTCACAGATAGTCAAATGATCTGCCCAGCTTTGGTATGACACTCTGCTGGAGTCACCTGAAGGCACACTTAAAATCATTCTGCAGTGACTGTTTAGAAGTAGCTTAATGTTAAATGAGATACCTTATTTAATAAGACTTTTTTTTCAGAGTCAGTCATGAAACAAACCATTTCTTATTTATCTTTCATTCTGCTTACTAACATCATCAAACAAAAGCATTTCTTATTTATGTTTTGTTCTGCTTACTAACATTCTTTGGCACTCATTTCTGTAATTTTAACACACAGTCACAAAAATGAAGAGACAGAGCAAAAATGTCTGAGCAAAAAGCCAAATATAGCTGAATTATTTATTTTTGTATCACTTCTTCAGTATTCTCTATAGGTGAGAATATCAATAAATGGTGTTTCAACTCTAGTTCTTTTGAGAGAACGTGTCATACATAGCAGAGTGGATTTAAATGCCTAGATAACTTTTTAAAAAGAAGTTTCTTTATATTTCTGAAGATGTTAATTAAACCAATACAAATTTTATAGTTATTGTTACTTTTTTCCTCTGAGGATAGCTTTCTTCTGCTAAAGCTGTGATTTAGAAAAGAAGATTGTACCTCATCTCTACAATAAATCAAAAAATTAGCCGGGCGTGGTAGCGCGCGCCTGTAATTCCAGCTACTTGGAAGGCTGAGACGGAAGGATCGCCGGAGCCCAGCAGGTCGAGGCTGCGGTGGCCGGGAGCGGCCACTGCACTCCAGTCTGGGTGACAGAGCGAGACTCCAACTCAGAGAAAAAAAAAGAAGATTGTAAAAGGCTCTGCTCTCATAGAAACAGCAAGAAAATGTTCTTAGTAGGTGGTCCCATTCTTGAACTTGGCCTCTGTTTTTCAACTCAATTTCACCATTAGAAAACTAAGAAAATACATTTACTAAGATTAAATTATTTTAGATCAAGTCTGCAAAATCTGACTCTACATTTTTATATTTTTCAAAGTGATTTTAGATTTTAGTACATTATTTGTAACATAATTGTCGACCCTCTGAAAATTATTACATAGGTATATATTTTTTAAGGGCTGATTAATGCTGGAGATTGTCTATAAGACTGCTTAGAGGCTGACGTTTTCGCCAATGGAATGTTTCTGTAAGTTGATAATTGGGAAATATAATTCTATTTATGGAAAGTATATGAAGTTTTTCAAGAACACATCCAATATGGAAAACAAGATTTACATAGAGAGTTCTGAATTGTTAATTAAATGCTTGATTATGAAGCAATTAGTTTTTAAATTGTTGAACCTACAAACTCAATTTTTACAGCAAGTGAATCCAATGATTTCTTTCAAAATAAAGCTCGTCACATGGAGTGCATAGAATCTTAAAATTAGATTTTAACTAGGAAATTCTTTTTAGCTATTTTGAATGAGTTTGTTCTATATGATTCAAAACATATGCTAATATATATAAATATGCTTATTCATTAGTCTGGAAGAATGCAAAATGAAGGAAGGATTGTGAACTGGAAACTGATATTGCATGGGACCTCTTCTCAGCCAGAGCACATGAAACAGCCTCGTGTGTATACGTCCTACAATACCGTTCAGAACGACAGAAGAGGGGTGGAGAAGATGGTGAACCTGGGGGAGGTCTGTATGGCTCCATTCTTGACACGCTCCCTTTTGAACTGTAGTAGACAATGTAGCGATAAAGCCATGTCTAACACTGAGACAAGGAATAAGTCACACATGGTTGGGAAGGAAGAGGAGTGGTAGTGGTGTGGTGTTTATTTTCCATGGGATGAAACCTTATTTTTTTCATTTGTTCTTTTACCCACAATTTAGAAATTAAAATTAGTGAATTCAAAATTACAAATCCCCCAATGCGACTTTTCTCCAATTATGACAGACATCAAGTTGAAAAGCAAGTTATCTTTATGTGTGATCACATACACCTAACATTTTCATTGCCCTTAGTTTTTGAACATTTTCTACATTGTCTCAGTTAACCTATCATCCCTGTAACCTAGGAAGAATAAACATCAGCATGTCCGTCTTGCAGAAAGGAAACCAAGGCTCAGGTGGCCAAATCTTGTAGGCTTCTCCTTGCCTGACACTTCTTGGCAACACCAAGGGGAGATATAGAATCACAATTTCAATCAGAAAATTTTGAAGGATAGTTAAAGTAAGTCGTTCATGTTCCTGGGTCTCAGCCTACTATAGCTGCATGCTTCTCCTTATTGATGATGGCCAGAAACCACATTAAAAAAAAAAAAAAAAATCTCTGCATCCCCCAGCATCCAGTTCAATGCTTCAGATGTAGTTAACAGGCTTTCAGAATTTCCAGAATTGCCCATAATAGGTCTAGTTCTGTGCTGGGTGTTTTGAAGGATACAAAGATTTAGTATTTATTTAAGAAACTTACAAACCAACTGTTTGATAGCCTCAGCTCCGATTCTGGCCCCATTGATAATCTGCAAAGTAGTTTTCCTGCAGAACCTGAGTCCCCAGGTCTTTTCTTCACTGTCTGGGAAGCAGGTTAACCTTTGTGTTTCTCCCTCTGAAATTCCTTACAGGGTATTAACAGGACCCTTCTGTTGTTAGAACATGACACTTTTCCACTTGGTCAACAGATTCTCTGAGATCTCCAATTTCCTCCCCCAGCTCACCACCTCCATCTTCTCCCTAGCCTCTTCTTGCAATTCAGGGGTTAAAAGGGTATTTCTGAGAGTAAAGTGCTCTAAGGAAGCTGTACTCACACTACAGAAACTGGTAGATACCTTCTCTATGAGTTGTCAAATATTCTAATACCCTCTTCTTCCTCAAATGGATTCCCATAGCAGGCTGACAAGTGAAGGAAACCAACACACACTGAACACTTACCTAGACTGTCTCATTTAGACTTCAAAGCCAGCAGACATGGAGGTGTTCTTATTCTTAAGTCACAGGTGAAGTTGAGGGAGATTAAAAAGGTTGCCAAAAGTACCCTAGTAAGTAGACAACTGAGGGGTGAAACTTGAACACATAGGACTCCCAGGCTTGTGATCTCTGAGCCCCCACATTGCCTCTCCAGTGGACATGTGCTGGGACTGCAGCCAGCTTGTCTGGTTGTCATTAATCCTTCTTTGTGGGTGGTATTCTGTGTTCTAGGAGCAGCCCACACCAGAGAATTCTAACGACAACCCCCTGGGGTCCAAAAGTCCCAGCAGTGAGAGTGTCGGGGGCAGAAGGGATGAGCTGGTGGAAGGAGCCCCATCTGAGGCCATGCTGCGACTCCTTCAAAGCGCTTTCAGCAAAAACTCGCTGCCAAAACAGTCACCAAAGAAGCCCCCCAGTGCAAAGCTCAGCATCCCTTATGAAAACTTCTACGAAGCCCTGGAAAAGCTGAACAAACCTTCCCAGCTTAAAGACTCCGAGGACAGTCTGTATAATGACTATGTTGATGTTTTCTATAACACAAAACCTTATAAGCACAGAGATGACCGGCTGCTTCAAGCTCTGGTGGACATTCTGAATGAGGAAAATTAAAATAAGTGTGTGGTCCCCAAGTTGGAAATATTCACACTTCTTCCTTACCCTTAGGTTTGGCCTGTGTCTGAAGTGCTTGTTTTGTCATTGATTCCTATGCTTATAATATCCTTCATGGCACTTTTTCTTTTTCTCCCCAAACTGTACATTTGAAGGGGATGAGCTCAAGTAGGAAATTCAACTTCCAGAATTGATCATAGCTTTTTCAAAACACATCTATCCTACCTGCCCAAGCAAAGTGAACATCAAAGCCAGTCATACTAAGCAAATGTTGTGCAAGTAGTTCTCTCTGGAGTCACAGTTGACACACAGCTCTCATGCTGCATTAGGATTCCTCCTTTGGCCCATTTCATTTCTCAAAAGGAAAGGCAAAGCCTAGGCAATCAATTAATTTGAAAAAGTAATCTGCAAAGAATGAGTGAGAGAAAGAGAAAGAGAGAGAGAGAGAATTGTTCCTATAGCATGTTTCCAGTCTTGGCCATTTGGCTCTTCAAATTTGGATGCCAAGAAAGCATTTGAAAGTCTATAATTAAAGAGTTCACAATTAGACCCACACACCCTAGGCCTTTCTACTCCAAATGCTACTCATTCCTGGACTCAAAATCTGGTCATGTTGGGGTGGGAGGGGAAGATCTCTATTATTTAGATCTAGAAACAGACCTTGAAATCTGCATTTTTCTGGTTTGAGCAATCACAGGGCATTCTTCTTTGTCTGGTGTACCATGTAGAGGCATTTGTGAGTCCAGAGGTGGCTTTGTGTCCTGGTCTTCCTCAAGTTCCCTTTTCTGAAAGTTTTCCTTACCTGTCTTCTTTTTCAACCACAAATTGCATATTCAGAGAATGAATTTATACCAGTTTCTCAGAAAAGAAAAAACTCGGCCAATTCCTAGTCACATTTTTAAAAAATAAGAATAACAGGAAACAACAAGAAACCACAAATCACGTGGAAAACTAAGGTAATAACAGGAACATATTCCTAATGGGAAGAACCAATGAGAGGTTTTGTTATTTTTTTCAAATTTTGTTCATTAAAACAGGATGTTCTGGATCTTTGAAACTGAATGTTCATTCTTTGACACTAAAGGAACTTCTCCAGTCCTACAGCTGATAGTATCCAAATTCTCACCAAATTGTTTCCAAACTTTAAACCAAGAGACACAAACTGGCCGCACACAGACCTTTTTTGTCTCTCAGGTAGATTTTGCTCGGTATGCAGAATGCTTTGAAAATGTGATTGATTACTAAAAATAGGAGATTTCACATAAAACCTGATTTTCAGACCCATTTTCCCTCATGGCAAATGTTGGCTGGAACTGTGGAGTAACTGCCTAATTAGACTTGAGCTTGAGGTCCCCAAGGCACTCTGCTTCATGCTACTTACAGCAGCCCTTTGATTCATTACCGGTCAGCATCCAATAGGTATTTGATTGTGCCCATTCCTGCACTAAACGAATGTGTACAAAGTATAAATGCATTAGAAAAAAAACTACCCTTAATTTCTGTTAGACAGTATCTGTGCAATAATGATTATGAAAGTTTGCTATGATCTAATTAATTTAGGTTGCATTTCTAGGGGAAAAAAAGTGGCATTTTTGAATCTGAAGATACCTTTGAAATCTAGTTTGACATATTGACTCTCACTTCACCTGGATGCTCACTAAAACTAATTCATTCATTGCCAACTAGTTTCCCCTCTCTCAGTGTGCTCACAAAGGCTGACTACAATGCTGGCTTTCTCTCACTGAGTTTGTTGTTTGCAGTTCTTCCATGAAGTTTGAATTTCGTAATGTCTTTCATGGCATTGAACTGGTTTAGGAAGAGAATATTAGTCTGTCACCTGTTCTGGCTTGAAGTGTGGTTGGCAAGACAAGATTCACTTGTTATTCTGCCATTTGAATTTGTGTAGATCAAGGGTATTTCCAGAGTAATACCCGTGATGCTTAGCGAAAGTTCTCCTAGAAGACTTGTAGTATCACTCTGCCCTTGAAATGTTCACATGTTGCTTGATATGAAGTGTTAGATAGAATTTTGACTATTGAAGCACATCAAAAAGTATTAAAACTGAAAAGGACCAGAAAGTTACTCATTTTCAACTAAAAACAAATACAAAATCCAGAAAGGCCAGTAAGTGGTAATAAACAAAAGAGTTGGAATTAAGACTCATCCTTTCCCCATTCCTAATCTAGTGCTAAATGTATGAAGCTTTCTTTTTAATCATTCCTAACAGTATCTCTTCTGGGTTAAAACCCCAATCAACTCATCGGGTTGTAGCCAAAGGTTCACTCTCGAGAAGCTTTAATATTTAAATAAAATTATGTTGAATGTTTCCAACCTGGAGTACATTGTTTAGACATAAAAGTTTTGTCAGTCTTTCTCAGTGCCTGCGTGAATTTTTGTGAAAATGTAAAAGAGGAAACTTATATAATATTTCCCTTGGAATTTTAAACTATATTTTCTTTACAGGTATTTATAATATGCCAATGCTTTTATCAAACAGAATTTTAAAAGGCATAATAAATTATATTAAAGAACCAGAAGTTTTCCTGCATATAAGAAAGTTTCATCCAATAAAATATTTTTTGAAAGGCATGTTCCTCTCTCAATGAAAAAAGTATAATATGTATGTGCTATGATATTAAAGTGGCATTTGTCTAATAGCCTAATACAAGCTTTACATGTGTGGTCTTAGCATTCTTACGGGAACTATCACATTATACATGTGATGTATTAACCAGAATATGTAAAACATTGCTTATAAATCAAAAGAATAAATGGTTTCTCACTAAGTCAAAAAGAAAAAAAGCTCATGTTTCCAACAAACACAGGATCTCCTTCTCTTACAGTGTTTCCCAAATGAACTGTAAAAAAGAAAAGTTGAAGGTTTATGTTAAAAATTTAATTTCTTTTTAGGAAAATGGACTTTCTAGGAGGCAACTTAAGAATCTACCTAAGTACAGTATATTTTATTTTCCTCTATAGCTCAATCTTTCACTTAATTGACAAAACACAAAGTTGGATGACTAAGCCTTAACTGAAATGTCGAGGAAACAAACTAAAAGGACTTACTACATGTAAGAGAAATGATTTCCAACAGTTCATCACACATGACTTAGTTCACAGGCCAGAGTAAAGCAGCGAAGCATGTAATCCTTCCCAGAGTTTCCCCCATTAAAACCTTCAACTTTGATCTCCTGTCCTCAGGAGATCCAAAGGTCCACATTTCTCTCCTGGTTCAAACATCCATCCCAGGAATTTCTACCCCCCATTTCAGAATCTGACTTTTCTCTCCTTGGGAACTGGTTTTTCCTCAGGCTCCATTCCTATCTTCGAAATCATAGCCATTCAGTCAAGCTAGAATAATCTTTCAGAAATTCTACAATTGTTCTGAGTTTTGTCTTCTACATCCAGATATCTTCAAAGTGTTTCCATCAGAATGGTTTGAAAGTATGTCTCTTTTGTTTTTATTGATTGATTAATTAGTTAATTATATATATTTAAGGTGTACAACATGATGTTTTAATATACATGTACATAGTGAAATGATTGCTACAGTCAAGCAAATTAACATATCCTTTCCCTCATTTGGTTACCTTTTTCTTCCTCTTTGTAGTAAAAGCATCTAAACTCTAAACAAGTTTCCAGTTTACAATACATCTTTATTAACCATAGTCCTGATGCTGTAGGAAACATTTCTAGACTTACCCTACATAACTGCAACTTTGTAATCTTTGACCTACGTTTCTCTTTCCCCCAACTCCTCCTCGCCCTAGTAACCACCATTCTATTCTCTCTTTCTAGTTGTTTTTGTTTGTTTGTTTGTTTGTTTGTTTTTGTTTTTAATTTCACATGTAAGTGAGATCATGCAGTATCTTTTTTCTGTGTCTGGCTTATTTCACTACAGTTTTATCCATGTTGTTGCAACTGACAAGATCTCCTTTTTAAGACTGAAATATGTATATTTTTATATATACATATATATATCAATCTCTTTATTCATTTTTCTATTGGTGGTCTCTGTTTTCCTTTGAATGCCTGTTTGGTAACTATTGGATAACCATGTACAGGCTATGATTACAAACACAAATACACATACATGCCCCAAGAATAAACACTAATACTTAAATACAATTTTAAACACGTGAGGAGGAAGATTGATGTCTTCCTAACTGTCTTGTAATTTGCAAGGCTATAGCCTTAATATACATGATAATTTGGATTATCTCCTCTGTTCCCTCTGCCCCATGGACACAGTATATTTTCCTAGACCATTGATGTTGAGCTTGACTGCCAGAGACCAGCTCCAGCCGGGTTCAGGGTACCCCAAAGGTGGAGACGGCGTCGGCGATTGGGGGGAAGAAGAAAGAGAGAAAGAAAGAGACTGGACTCCAGTCTTATGCAGAATGTGTGTTTTATTAGGAATTACAACGGGTCTTTTATATACAAAGTCAGATGTGGGAGGGGCGTCCCCCACCCACCAGAAACCTTAATCCATGAAAACTTAATTAATGATAATCTTAAAATCCCATAACAAAGGATAACCTAATCCGTGACTGATATATTCTATAAACCTTTTTCATCCTAAGATGATTGATTTATGCCAAGTTAAACAATTCTATAGAAGCTTAAGTATTTACTTTACAAATGAAAGTGGCCCATCCCAGAATGTTTGGAATGTGGCCCAGTCCAAAGTTCACAGTGGGCTACCTGCAAGTAACCCAACCGCATTCTTTCAACAAAATGGCTGTCTTCTAAAACTATATTCTACAATTTACACCTTCAATAAATCCTAAGATCATGACCCAGAAGCCTGTGACCAATACTAAGGCTCTTAGATGTGACACAAGTTTGAATTATAAGTTGTGTGAAAGCCAAAACTGCAGTTTGTGGAAGAATGGGAGCAATGAGCTTCTAAAGTTAGCTTGTGTTCATCCCGGTCTCAGAGTTTTTATGTTTTGAACTCACAGGAGCTTAATCTGGTTAGTGCTGAGTAGAAAGGCGGAGGAAATGGGGTCAATAGCTCCCAAACGCATCCTAGTGGTCTCAGGGTCAACGGCCCTTCCTGATCCCTAATGCTCAGTGGGCCTCCATGGCCGGCTCCCAACACTTGACCATGTGATTTGCTTTGGCCAATGGAATGTTAAAATGTGATGTAAGCAGGGACCTTAAATGTGCTTGCACAGCTTGGTTTGGCTCCTGCTTTTCAGCAGGCCAATGCAGTGAGAAGAGTGTTTCCCAGGAGCTACTGTCCATTCAGCCTGGTTTCCAGAACAGATGTATATGGAGGAGATCTAAACCAAACTGACATTCTGGAACTAAGCCCAGCCAACGTACAGCATGAAGCAGAGCAGTCCTAATGAGAGCAGCCTATTTTAAATAAGCTGAACTTGTCAACTTGTCAACTCATGAGTATAGGAATAAATGCTTGTTGTAAGTCACAGAGTCTTAGGATAGTTTGTTACACAGTCTTACTGTGAGAACAAAACTGACTAATGAAATACAAGTTCCATGTGTTCATTTCCCCACCAATACCATCCTTCTCAAATTCTATCTTCTTGAGTCTAAAGGATGAAAAAAGTATTAAACCATATTCCTCTTAATGTTGATCCCATGGCTAAACAAAGACCCTGCCCAAACCTTGAAATTCTCACTTTTAAAAACTCAGGTTCTCTTGAAAACAGAGCCTTAGATAATGACTTGTATACAGGTAGTTTATTTAGGAAGTAATAGAAGGGAGCAGAGGTGATTCATACCAGAGACAAAGTAACTATATTAGCTGATTCTGGTATTGACAGAAGATAACTCAGAGCAAACACCTAGGCCACCTCCACCTTCACCTCCATGCAGTGCCTTGGCATTTCCGTTAAACTCTCCTCAGAGCTTAGATGCAACAGTAGGAGAAGGGGGAAAAAATGTGATTGGCTGCGATCAAATTCACATCACTTATTTGGCAATTCCTAAAAGATCTTCCATATGACCCCTCAATCCCCCTACTGGGAATATAACCCAGAGGAACTCAAATCACTCTATGAAAAACATACCTGAATACACATGTTTATTGCAGCATTATTCACAATTGCAAAAACATGGAGCCAACTGTGCTGCCCATCAAAAGAGGACTGGGTAAAAAAAAAAAACAAAAAAACATGGTACATACACACGATGGAATTATGCAGCCATAAAGAAAGACAAAATTATGAACTTAGTAGCAACTTGGATGTACCTAGAGTCTATAATACTGAGTGATCTATTACAGAAACAAAGGGCTGAATATCACATGTTCTCACTCATAAGCAAACCTTGAACAACTATTGTAATCCTATAAGAATTGGCAGTAGTAGGAAACTGCCAGGGGAGGGCAGGGGTGGGATTGGCAGTAGTGGGAAACTGCCAGAGGAGGGGAGACACACCTCATCAACAAGGGTACCTGCAAGATGAACATTTGTATACATAACCCTGAATTGTACCCCTTATTGAAAATAAGTTAGAAAAAAAGATTTTTAAAAAGCAAATCTTACAATTTAAAAAATTCTGATATAAAAAATGAAGCAATTTTTGCTCACCTGGGTTTTTGACTTGCAATTTGTACACACTGCCTGTGTGTTGCTATATATTGATAAAAGCATGACTCTATCATCAATGTATAGACTAGGAGGGGACTGTAGTCTATGTATCCATCATTCTCATGGCATGTGACAAGGGAGTAGAGACCTCTCTTCTGGTTTCTATTCTGGATCAATTTGCCTGGAGTGTCACAAAGCACTTTCACACTGCTCCACACCCACGTGCACCCCACCCCTGCATACCCCAATTTTGTGTCTTCATTGAATATTTACCTAAATATGGAGTCACAATCTCAGAATGCATTCTTGTTCTTAGAAGAAGGTTAAGGAAAACATATCTCAGATTTGTTCCTGCAGGGTTATCATGACGGTTCCCTTCAGTTCCTTCATCCCAGTCCTTAAGAGCCCCAGTGGCAGGTGATTTATAACCTAGGTGATGCCCTAATGAGAGGAGTGTGGCCTTCAGGTTTGCTTCTGTCTTAGGTACTCCACAGTTACTTCTTGCATCATCATTTCTCCTTTTCTCGCCACCACCAGGGCCCAGCCCAAAACTCATTCTTGGGGAAGGTTCAGTGCTCCTCTTACCTTATGCACATTTTAAAGTTCATAGTCACATTCCTAGAAAAGAGTGTCACTTGAGTGTTCCATAGTAGGGTATACAATGCCAGTCTGTTTTGGAGGAGGACATGCTTCCTGGATAATATAAACTTTGAACCCCAAATTTTAAGATAAGAGAGATTAATTTTGACAGAGGAAGGTATGGGTTGTTTTATGTTCTCTTGCGAATGAAGGAAGCCCAGTCATGAGATCCTATGCATCCTATTAGGCCTCTCAAAGGTGGTCCAGCCTATCCTGTTTATCTGAACATCTGCTCCCTTGGCTCTGGTTATTCTTTACTAGTATTTTCTAAGCTTTCACAACATCAGTGAAGGGACCTGACGTTGCCATCTTGTTACAATGCTGTTTTTACTTACAAAAATCAAAAAGGCACCAGCTTTGCTTTTCTCAATTAGTCGCTGTAAATGATACTGTTCTAATCATTAAAGGGTAAGAAAAAAGCCTGAAAATGCAACAGCATCATACAGTGGTTAGAGTGTGGACTCTTGAGTCAGCCATAAGTGAATCTGAGTTCAGGCCCTACCATGTCCTAGCTGTGTGCCCTTGGGCAGGTGACTTCACCTTTCTGGACCTTATTTTCTCATCTATAACAGTTAAGTTTACTCCTTATTGATT